CTGCAGAGTGTCCTACCTTCTCTCCTTAGTCTTCTCAGGGCCTGCCCTCCCGAACACAGTATAGCTGTCATCCCTCCCTGCTTGTGCCTCTTTCAGAGCTTGGTGCTCTTATTCCACTTGGAGCCCTGTGGAGTAGACAGGTACCAGAGCGGTTCCTGCAGCTTCTCAGAGAGCAGCTAGTGGGAGTCCCCAAACAGCATGGGTGCAGTTCCAGGCTATATTATTCCACTGGTTTTGAACCTGCAGTTACCAAAAAAAAAAAAAAAAAAAAAAAAAAAAAAAAAAGTATTTGATAGTCTGATTCAAGGTTTTCTAATTTGTTTCTGATTCAAGTTTTCTAATTTGTTCAAATACTAGTTGCTTTGTGCCATAATTAAATAAAAGTGATTTATAATTAGTTCATTAACTATGCCGGTTAATGATGCTTTAAAGAAGATAACTCGCCCTCAGAATAGTGGAAGCAATTCATGCATTCTCGCAGATGCTTGTACTTGTCATTTGCTTAACAGCCCATCCCTTCTGGTTAGTGAGGAAGTAACCTTGAGCTCAGTGCAGTGGGAATCAGTTGTACTTACATCAAAGAAAGCTGTAAGCCCTCCTGTCCTGGTTGTTTGAGTACGTGTGTGTGTGTGAATTGTAACAGTTAATTCACTGTTTTTTTTTTTTTTTTTTTTTTTGTATTTTTATCAGGGTACTGTTTTCTGCAGAAATGGTGCCTGAAGTGAAGGGTTCTGGTCTCTCAGAAACTGCTAATTTTAAAGTTTTTTTTAGGCTGGGTGTGGTGGTCCACAGCTTTAATGGAAGCACTGGAGAAGTAAAGACAAGATGGATCTATGTGAGTTCAAGGCCAAGCCTGGTCGGCAACAAAGCAAGTTTCAGTTCAGTCAGAGCTATGCGGAAAGCCCATGGCTGAAACCAACAGCAGTAAACCCCAAAACAAAAGCTTTTGAAAAAAAAGTTGGAGGAAGAGAGGATAAATTGACAGCTGAGTACAGTTTTTAGTGTTTGTATTGTAAGACTGGAAAGGGAAATTAGTACTTGAAGTCAAGAACAGGTCCTAACATCACTTTACTGTAGAACTGGGAACTGAGGAGATGAATGGAGAGCTCTGCAGGTAAAGGAGGTGAGTGTGACAGTTGTGGAGCTGTGGACCTGTGGGCGTGAGAGTTGTACCTAGGCTAGTTGAGAAGCCACCGTGCTAGCAGCTCACGGTTGGTGGATTAAATGCTATGGCCACAGCCAAGGAGGCTCACCCATTCTTTCTGTGTGTGCTTCCTCACTTGTACACACACTCTCTCTCTTTCTCTCTCAGTTTACTTTCTTTTTCTTTTTGAGTGCATTGATGTTTTGTCTGCATGTGTGTCTGTGAGGGGTCAGATGTTGGAGTTATAGGCAGTTGTGACCTGCCATGTGGATGCTGGGATTTGAACCCAAGTCCTCTGGAAGAGCAGGCAGTGTTCTTAACCTCTGAGCTATTTCTCCAACACCTCTTGATTTACGTTTCATTTTATGTGTATGAGTGTTTTGCCTTCATTTATGCCTGTGCACCATCTGAGATTTCGGTGCTCTTGGGGACCAGAAGAAGGCACTGGGTCTCCTGGAACACGAGTATAAATGGTTAGGAGCCTCCATGTGCATCCTTGAGAACTGAAGCTGGGTCTTCTGCAAGAGCAACAAAATCTGTTAACCCCTGAGCCGGATCTCCAGCCTTCCTTTTTTTTTTTTTTTTTTTTTTTTTTTTTTTTTCAGTAAGGGGAAATGAGTACTTGAGGCCAAGTACAGGCCCTAGCATATGTGAAGCCTGATGTCAGCATTTGGGTTCCTTTGCCCATTCTTCCTGTGGCTTGTGTCTCCACGTCATCTGTGCTGAGGGCTGTGGCTCTGCCTCTGCTATATGCTCCTTGTGCTCTTTCTTGGTGCAGTGCAGCTTTTGGCCTGGGGTTGTGAACAAAGGCAGCACCTTTGAACAGCTTACAAGTTGTGTTTGTTGTGGGTGGGTCCCCCAAGCCTGGAGGTCTGGAACCCCGGGACTAGAAAAGGAGCCAGCTTTGCCCAGGCAGGAGCAGGAGGAAGGCCTAGAAATCAGGAACCCAAGGTAGGTAGGGGCTGCTAAAGCCCGGCTTGGATTGTGTGGGACAGCACTTCCAGAGTGAAAGCTATCCTCCCAGGATAACTGTTGCTTTCCTTAGTGGCTGGATTTGCTATGGAGAGATGTGGTCTGGCTTTGTAGCTTTGGCCCTTTCATCTTAAAAAATAGCCTAGGGATCCAGGCTGCACATCCCTGACTTGGGCATTAAGGACAGAAATGGATAGGATGTACAGAAGACATGAGACAAATCTGTTACCTCTTCCTCTGGTGTTCACATGGTCTCATGTAGTCCAGGCTGGCTTCAGCTCCTTATTCTCTTGCCTCTACCTCCACGTGCTGGATTACAGACATGGGCCATCACACTCAACCTCCCTTCAAATGGATTTGGACTCCAGGGAAGTGTTTGTAAAAAACTACCTTACTATTCTGTGAACTTTAATTTTTAGTAGAAAAATAACGCTTTAGTAGAAAATACACTAGGAAAATCAGCTCTCTAACATTCTCGTAATGAAAAGTAAAACCTATGAAGAAGCCTGTGGTCTGGCCATTTCCATCCTCCTTACAGTAATCACACAGTTCAGGAACTGTAATGCTCAGTGCAGTCTTTGTCCTCTTCGGAACTGGAGCTGTGCCTGGCTATACATGGACCAGGAACTGTTCTTGGTATCTCAGAAGCAAGCATGGGTCCTCTTGGTTACATATTTCTTCTATACTGTAGCAAGAACAAATGGAATAAAAACTCAAGATGCTTAGGGAATACAGCACTGCCTCAGATGCTGATGATGAGGGTTGAGTGCTACTGGGCTGTTTTCCTAGGTCACTCAGCCTGGCATTTGGAGAGTTGCAGGCCCCCATGTATGAAGATGGAGTTCTGACGGTGACCGCACAGGCCTCTAGCACAGCTCTGCCTTTTTCCTTCTTCTGCACCTCGTGGAAGCTCTGGAATCTAGCAAGGAGTAGGAAGAGGGTTCCCACCAGGCTTCCAGACCACCTGAAACCAAGAGGTTTCTCAGCATTGTCCCTTAGCTGGCAGCTACCCACCTATACAGGTGTGGCTTTTCTCACTGGGACAGTGCTGACTGCAGGCCCGATGGAGAGCATCGGAATTGTCATTGGCTCCCACCTGTGTGGCCCATGAGAGCTGGAACATAAGGCAGGCAGCTACAGGCTCTTCAGCTGTGGCCAGACATTGCAGTGATGCTCTGCTTTCCTTGTTCCCATGTCTGTTAACAGCTGTTGTCAATCACCAGACTTCCTGTCCTCACTGATTCAGTTTTGTGGTGACTTGCTGACCCTGCTTACTGTCCAGAACAGCCAGCAGGAGGCTTGGCTTTTTGTTTAGCACCCTGTCTCAGAGGCATCAAGGCAGTCCAGCAGCAGCATCCTGTTCTGAGAACACAAAGCACCTGTTGTTGACTGAATTATTCCCAAAGCAGTAATATTTACATTTATTGTGATTTCACAGATAGCATGGCTGTCCTTCCTTACTGACAGGACCACAGCACTAGAATCAGGACACGAGTGCTCAGCTCGGCACCTCTTGTTGTTGGGGGCATCATGGCCTTACTTACACATAGAGCAACGCTAGCCACTCCCTTCTTGGCCCTGATTGAGTCATCAGATGTCTGATTGAACACTGTGTTCTACTGATGGCAGGGTGTTTGCTTTGAATCAGGACTGGTCACCTGCCTGCTTTCCTCCCTGGGAAGCCCTGGTGGTAACTGCTGTACCTGAGGGAGAAAGCTCAGCATGTGAGGCCTGAGGAGCCGCACGTGACTGTTCTGTGCTGTTGGCATTTCAGACTTAGCTTAGGAGGTTGTATGTACTGCTTCCTAGTGAAGACCTTGAGTCATGCTTTGGCCATTGGACTTCTTTGTCTAAAAGATGTTTGAGTGTAGCCATTTTGAGCTATGCATGAGAGTTTAGTAAGCTAGCTTCAGTCTTTTGTGACTCAGGATCAGTTATTTAATTGTTCTTTCTGTCTCTGAACCCTGCTCTCAGGCTGAACTCAACTGTTCTCATCCTGAGTGCCTGCACTATGGACCTAATGGACAGCCCACAGGAGCTGCTGATTCCTGGCACTGTTGGGCTCCTGTGGATGTGTGTATCTTTTTCCTGTATCAGGCTGTGTGTGTTGCCTGTCATGAGGCATCCAGTGCCTGTGTGACTCAGGATGCCTTGGCTAGGGTGTGAACCTTTGGCTGGCTGCACTGCACTGTGTTCATTGGAAAATGTCTTTGTCATGAGTATAGCTCGAAGACTGACACTGTTTTGAATGCATCTTTGAAGGCTAGTCATAGATGCACTAAGGTTGGGAGTTGACAAGAACTCATCTAGACCATACCGTGAGATTTCCTGTGATCCAACGTTTTGTTTCATTGTATGTTTTCATAGAAAAGAAACTGCAGGCTGGAAAGATGCCTCAACAGTTAAGAACACTGGCTGTTCTTTCAGAGGACCTGGGCTTGATTCCCAGCACCTGTATGGCAGCTCACTGCTGTCTATAACTCTGGCTCCAGGGGCTCTGCTGCCCTCTTATGGCCTCTGAGGGCAGCATGTGTACAAGTGCTGCAGACACACATGCCGGCAAAGCTCCCATATACATACAGTAAATAATAATGAAATAAAGACTGGATTAAAAATATTTTTATTTTATGTGTTAGATGTTTGCTGCATGTCTGTGTACCATGTGTGTACAGTGCCCTCGGGGTCCAGAAGAGGGCATCAGGACCTTTAGAATAGGGTTACAAAGGATTGTGAGCCACCATGTAGATTCTGGGATTTGAACCTGGGGTCCTCTGGAAGAACAGCAAGTGCTCTTAACTCTGAGTGGCTCCAAGTATATTTTGATCTATAGAAAAAGGTAGGATTCTGCTTAATTATAACTCTGTTTTTCTTGTTTATCCACCAGACTTCATGAGGAAATAATTGACTTTTATAACTTCATGTCCCCTTGTCCTGAAGAAGCAGCCATGAGAAGGGAGGTGGTGAAACGGATTGAAACTGTGGTGAAAGACCTCTGGCCAACAGCTGATGTGGGTATCTTGTCACCTCACACTCCAGTCAGTGTGAGTGCCCTGTGGTGGTTGTGTCAGCTGTGTCCCATGTACATCCACGCTTCCTGTTACCCAGGGCGTGTGGCTCTCCAGGCATGGTCCTGGGCATCATCACTTGGGAGAAAAGTGCTGTGTAAAAAAGCACTCTCTACTCTGCACTGCTCAATCAAACCCTGGTATGATCCAGCCATTGGTTAGCTCACCAGTGTACAGTTGGGTGAGGACCATTAGCCTAGGAAATTCATTCATATTTATATTCTCATACTTATTCATTTATTCTCTTCCTCTTTCATTCGTGTTTTAAAGTCACCTTAAGGTTAGAAATCTTACTCCTGTCTCATCCCCCAACCCGATGCAGTCAGTGCACTTCACAGCATGTAACATGTTGGTCTCATTAGAAATTGCAAGTCCAAAAAAAAAAAAAAAAAAAAAAAAAAGAAATTGCAAGTCCAAGCATAGCAGGGAGGTACATGCCTTTAGTTCCAGCACTCAGGAGGCAGAGGCTCTAAGTTTGAGGCTCACCTGAGCTGCATAGTTCCAGGACAGCCAGAGCTACATAAAGAGAGACCCTGTTTCAAAAAAACAAACCACGATTGCAAGTGTTTCGCAGTACCGCACTCTTACATGGATGGGCATGTTTCTGTGGCAACAGGTGCTTGGGTATTTGTAGTGCTTGGTGCAGGCAGTGTATATCTAATCTCTCCTGAATTTTTGGTGTAAATGTACAAGGAACTTTCTAGTTTGTTGCAGCATTTCACCTGCTCCCTTCCCTAATGTCCTTGCTGGTTTTGTTGTTTTTCATGTTTTGAAGGCAGAATGGGAGCCTGTTGACTTGAACTGTGGGGCATTTTTTTTTTTTCAGGTGCAGATATTTGGCAGCTTTAGTACAGGTCTCTATCTTCCAACAAGGTGAGTGCTGCTTAGTGTTTGTTTATGGGGTAGATGGTGTCTATAAGCATCTGAGGCTTGAGTCAAAGAGAAGGATTGTGGAACATAGGGAAAATAGGCAGAAAGTAAAACTTAGTTTAGCATTAAGGCAGCAGATTGCTTGCTTGGTATTTTCTTCTTGCATTTAACTTTTTACAAACAGATATGTTAGATGTTGGAGACAGAAGATCAATGGGAATTGTCCTAGTCTCCTGCCACTGTGAATTGTAAACCAGAGAAGCTTATTTGGCTCTCAATTCTGGGGACTGCAAAGTCTAAGGTTCGGAGGCCACAATTGGGTCAATCTTTCCTTTTTAAAACTAACCCCACCCCTGTGGCAGTTTTATTGATCAATTCATGAAGACAGTGTCCCCAGACCCTTCTCACCTCTGAAAGTTGAAAGGCCTGTGCTGTTTGTTGATAGCCACATTTCAGTGGGAGTCTTTGGGGGAAGGGTGAACATTGGTTTTACAAAAAGCAGCTGGGGATGGGGATTAGACTGCAATGGTGAATAGAAAGTTTTAATGAACATTCAGGTACAATTCTGTTTGAGTAGTTGTTCATGAAGACCTTTATGTAGAAGTGTCAGATTTACTTCCTGAAATTGTCTCCTGGGTTCATATTTGTATGTGCTTGATGTATATGTGGTTTTTGTTGCATGCTAGTTACCATTTGGAGGCTAAAGCAGCTGTGATGTCAGACCTCATCAGCATGGACTCTAGAAGCCAAGCAGATTAAAAGTCCTCAGGGATCCCTGGGCCATGAGTGAGAATTAGTGCTGATAGTGTAGATAGCTGGAAGATGGTATATCCATTTCACCCCATTGAGTACTGGGCCTTTAAAGACCTTTTCACTCAGTCTTTGCATGACCCAAAAGCTGAATTCAGTGCCCCAGGCTCAGGTGCTTATTGGAAACTTCTGGGTAGAGAGGAACATGCTGTGGTGCTGACCTCCTATGTGGGAGGTCACCTCCTGGTGAGGTATGTTGTGACTGACGTATTTTCTCTCTGTCCAGTGACATAGACCTGGTTGTCTTTGGAAAGTGGGAACGTCCTCCATTGCAGCTTTTGGAGCAAGCCCTTCGGAAGCACAATGTGGCTGAGCCATGCTCCATCAAAGTCCTCGACAAAGCTACAGTGAGTGCTGGGGGCTGACACTTCTGAGTGGGAGTCACATGGTGCCTGCATCCTCCGATCTTCCTGACAGTGGTTGCTGGTTCCATTTTGAAGCGCCCTCTTGTGGTATAAGCATATGAGTTACTATCTTCATGATTACCAGCTGGGAACCTGCTCGGTTTTCACTGTGAGAGCTTTACTCTTGTCCTCAAAAGACAGACTTGTATCCATGTGTCTGAGAAGTAAGGCAAGAAAGAGGATTGCTAAGTGAAAACTTTGGCCTGGAGTACTGCTTAGGGATCAGTGTGGCTGTGTGTGTGTGTGTGTGTGTGTTTGTGGGGAAGACAGCATGCTAGCTTACACTGAGGGAGGAAAGCTTCCTTTGCTGCCCAGAGTTGCATCTGCACGTGAAAGGGCCCCTGCCTCAGGAGAAGCTGGGAGATGAGACTGCTTCTGCAGAGTTGCTGGAGGGTTTCTCACAGTGGTTCTGTGACCTCAGTCCCTGGCCCTGTGTGTACCAGTTACCAGCTCTGCTGCCATGGGCTGGTGTTTCAGTTTTGAGTTGGTGTATTAGCTCATCTGCAGGCTTTTCGTTGGGAACATGTGAGCTTTAGTCCAGTGCCTACCTGCTCTGCCCGTACTTTTGCCTGGGGTGGGTGAGTGTTTAGATGGTAAGCATTCCCACTGAAGTCTTCACAAAGTACCTGCACTGTTCCTTCCGGGCAGCAGTCCCTCCAGGCATTTCTGCTCGGACTGCCTTTTATGCACCTGAGCTCTGCTGAGACAAGCCTTGGCCACTCCTCAGATGCTGAAGGCCATGCTGTACTCAGTCCTCCTGCTGACAGGCAGGCATTGTTACCTTTCGCTTTTGACCCACGAGGAGACATGCACAATGGATAGCAAGGGACCTTCACTGCACTCCATTAAATACCTGACCAGAGATGGCACCTTGCTTTGGCCGGGGTCCCTGCTGTAGTTCAACAGCTCTGCCATATTTATTCTTTTTTTGTGCTTCATTCCTCATCCAGGGAGGAATCCCATATCTCAGACATTCTGGCCACTCATGTTTGTGCAGTTGGTGACCATGAGGCCCTTTGACAGTGAGTGAGGCAGAAGGGACTTACTGTTTGTTTTGTTGTTTAGCTGTAAAAGAAGTTATGGGTGGCCTGAAGTCCCTGAGTTCTTGAACTGGCCAGGGTCTAGACAGAACCTCTGAGTAATGTTGGGCATAACTGCTTAGTTGTTCCGGCCTTCCTGCTGCAGCTACTGTGCACTGTGTTGCTTGTCCTCAGTCAGTTGAAAGTGGCCCATCCCAGCTGCTGAGGGAATATGCTTTCTCTACTGAGCTGCTCCCATGACATGGATTCAGATCTTGGGATGCAAGTGCTTTATGTGTGGTACAGCCTTTCTCTTTGCAACAGCTGCTCCAAAACAAGAATGGTAGGACTGCTGCTTATTCTCAGTGTGGGAAACCCCTCCCTACGAGTCTACAGAGCAGACGTGGGGCTCACCTCATGGCTTTGTAGGGTGCATGTGCAGGTTAGGCCTTCCCACCTGAGTCCTCTTTCTCAGGCTCCCATTCCCCTCTCACTGTCCCATTCAGAGTCAGCTGCAGGGGCAGGGGGGACCCTGCTGGAGAGGACGGGTGGTGGGCATCATCTGGGTCTCCAGTGACTACCCACATTAACTCTTGACAGAGCCCTGCTCTTTAAAATGACCTTTATGACTGCTAATTCCTTTTTGTGAAGAGAGGAAGGTGAAGAGAGTGGTTGTCTGGAGAATGTTGATGTCAAAGCAGTTTCTAAACCATATCTCCACAGGTGCCAATCATAAAGCTCACGGACCAGGAGACTGAAGTGAAAGTCGACATTAGCTTTAACATGGAGACTGGTGTCCGGGCGGCAGAGTTCATCAAGAATTACATGAAGGTACTGATGTCGCAGGGCCCCAGTACAGACAGGGGTGTGAGATCTTGTTAAAACTCTTGGAAATGGGCATTGTTAGAAATACAGAACGTATAATTATAAGCACTCTGTAATCAGGTATCTGGAGACACTTGGGAAGTACGTAGCTGTTATTTAGATTTCCTTTGAATGACTGAATGCTTCCTAACATTGAGCCTTATTATAGAGAGCTCTGGGGAAATGTTCTTTCTCTTAGTGCACAGCCTTGCTCTTGGCTCACAAGTTTAGGTCAGCATTCCTTCTTACTATGCTAGGTCATTCTAGGTCGGCTCTGGTTGGAAGCCTCAGTGCCTGTGAGTGTGAATTGAGCCAGTGCCTGAGCTGATAGCTTCTGGAGCTCTTGAGTGCTGGCACTCAGGCAGGCAACTCCCTTTAAACAGCCCAGACAGGCAGCCCTGGGACCTCTCTTCCATGTCATCAGTTCCTCCTCTCCATTGTCACCTGATCTGCAGGAGCATTTGCACCTGAGGACACTATGATCAGCCCCTCCGCTTATCCTGTGTCCCTGCTTCTCCTTGTTCTGCTCAGGGGCTGAGCATATCTGGTTACTCAGTCCTGGGGATTCTTGCAGCAGAGTGCTACTGTGTCCCTGACTGAGTCACTGCTTGGGCCTAAAGGGCCTTTCCATACCCATCCTTCCACTGAGGTAGTATGAATCCTTAAGCCTAAAATTGTAGATGGTTCTTTTGAGGGGTGCAGTGGGGGCAGAGGATGGATGAGCATTTCTTTCATGTGAAGCTTGTCTCTAGAGTCCCTTTAAAAGTAACCTGCTCTCCATTTCTTGGGTTTACAGAAGTACTCCCTGCTGCCATACTTGATTTTAGTATTGAAACAGTTCCTCCTGCAGAGGGACCTGAACGAAGTCTTCACAGGTGGGATCAGCTCCTACAGCCTCATCTTAATGGCCATCAGCTTTCTGCAGGTAAGCACGCCATCTCTGCACATGTGTTAGTGCCATAGATGCTGGCCTCATCATGGCTGAGCACCTTCCCTTTCTGTTTCTGGCTCCAGTCACTACAGTGTCTGCTCGGCATTCCTCCTGCAGCTTGATTCTGTGGCTGACTTCCTGTCTGGGAACAGGTTTCAGAAGTCAGTTGATGTCTGAGCTCCAGAATGCTCAGACTTTACTGTGTTGAGAAAGTATGGATTGTTTATTCAGAATGAGAGAACAACAGTTGGTTTATTTCTATATAAATCATAAAAAGCCTTTTCTGTTGATGCTCAATGTGTTTAACTTATTCCCATACCCTCTCAGAATAAAAGGCAGGTACCAGTATGTGGAAAAGATGAAAGTATTTTTCTTTTGGATTTTTTGAGATAAATTTACTTTAGTCCTGGATAGCCTGGAACTCCCTGTGTAGCCCAGGTTAGCTTGGGCCCATGGCAGTCCTCTTGACTCAGTTTCCCTGGTGCTGAGATGACATATGTGAGTAGCTCTTCCTGGAAAGCCTTGTATGATTGATGGTCGTAAATTATGCATCATCTCTGTTTTGGTGAGTGTAGTTCAAGGAGAGGTCTGTCAGCAGCGGGCCACTCCAGAGCTGCTCTGCTCTTGTTGGTAGGATGGTTGGTGGTTTTGAGCAATCACTTTACAGGTGAGACTGACCTGAAATTCACTATGTAGCCCAGGCTGGCCTTGACCTAGTAGCTTTTTTTTTTTTTGCCTCATGCTCCCAAACACTGATATTGTAGACATGAGCTCTTATGCCTGCTGTCTCTTTCACATATATAAAATAATACCCAAGTTAATTAAAATTTTATTCCACTTACATTTGCTTGAGAAAAAATATGCCTGTATGTTTTAGCCACACCCAAGTATATGTCCCTATGTAATCACTAATTTTCCTTTCTCTTGTGCTTGGTGAGGGCTTCTTATTTCCAGTGACATTGCTAGCCTGTGCTCTGACTTTGTGTGAGCTTTGGCTTCCAGGCTTGCTGCTCCTGAAGCATGCAACCCTATGGTGTGACTGCAGAGAGGCTCAGTGCTAAGCCATGGGCTTCATGCAGCTCACCCCGTTCTAATATGATGTTGCAGTCTCTCAGCACTACTGTGAGCTGAACAGCCCTCTGTTGTTACTTGAGTACTCCTGATTTGAAGAAACACATTTCAGTCTTCTTGTAAGGACAATTGATGTCACCTTGAGTGGGGTTTCCAAGGCCTCCTGGTGTGCTTGTTACTGGGGTCCTTGTGGCTGTCAGATCTCACAGGGACGTATAGACAGGATAGCTCCCACCTTCTGCCCTGTGTTGGAGCCCACCCACCTCAGGCTGGAACTGTTGTAGCGTCCTGCTCATCTCACAGCTGCCTGAGGGAAGGAGGCCAGACTCTGTACTGGGCTGGCTTGAGTGTTTGATTTGACTCAATGGCAAGGAAATAAAGGCTCAGCAAAAGGACTTCCCTGTTCTTTGGGAGACGGCATACCCAGGAACTCAGAACTCTGATGCTATGAGGGATCTTGCCTGGAGGGGCCATGCTTCATACTTCAGCCACTGTGCTGCCAGGACTTGCATATTAGTGAGGCTTGACCATCACCACCTAGAATTGTGCAAAGGACAGAGCTCCTTATGTGACCAGGGAGGCTATGAGCTATATGCCACTCTCAGTGCTTGCAGTGTCACCTGAGACTGACAGGTGCTGCTTAAGCTCTTTCTGTAGTAGGCAGCACAGGTCTGTAAGGTCGTGGGCACTTAGGAATTGTCAGTGGGCAAGGGTCAGAGTGAGGCTGTGGTGTGTGGTGTGAACTAGACTCACAGTGATTTATATTAAAGCAGGAGTTAACCTTAGTTCACTCACATTCTGGTTCACATGATGTATGCACTGTTCAGTCTCAACCCTGCCACCTATTGGTGGCATTACAGGATAATGAGATTAATATGAACTGTGCATTCGCCATCTAAATGACAGTTGGACAGAATATGGAGACTTACCATCGGGCAGCTTGAAGATAATGTCTGTGTTTGGACTGTCTGAGTGGATGTTGATATGTTTTCTTTCTTTCAGTCCCTCAATACAGAGGCTATCCAGGTGGGCAGGGCCTCCTAGCCGCTGCTCCTACTCTCTCAGGTGCTGTTGAATGGGGACCTCTCAAGAGTTCCCTGGAGAGGCTGCCAGGTGAGTGTCTTTAGAATGTAATGTGAATTCATACACCTTGTGGTCTCTCGTTTTACAGTTACACCCAAGAATTGATGCCCGGAGAGCTGATGAAAACCTTGGAATGCTTCTTGTAGAATTTTTTGAACTTTATGGAAGGAATTTTAATTACTTGAAAACTGGTATTAGAATAAAAGAAGGAGGTGCCTATATCGCCAAAGAAGAGATTATGAAAGCCATGACGAGTGGGTACCGGCCGTCGATGCTGTGCATTGAGGACCCCCTACTGCCTGGTGAGCTTACTTCACCCCCATGGCTGGGAGCATGGTGCTGGTGTCTGTACAGCTGAGCTCCTTTCAGGAGTCCTTGTCCTGACTAGTTGACTGCATACTACGGTGTTTGCCTTCTGTAAACACCAGAATTCGGAAGGGTGAGTCAGTCCAGCCACACAGACATCCACTGCTGGAAAGAAGTGTGCTGCAGTAAGTGGCCTCCTGCAGGTGTGTCATCACCTTCCCTTGATGATTGGCTGAATCCCGATTCTCCCAGCCTCACTCCTTGGCCCGTGGAGGCTGCTTGTCTCAGTGTGGCAGCAGGTGGTGTTTGTCTGCCTGTCTGAGAAGACTGTTGCAGAGTCTTGTTAGCTTGTGCTCCTGGCTGACCAGTGCGTTTCAGTTCCTCATGTGCCGACTGAGCATCTCCTGGGGAGATGCTCTTTAATGCTAATGATAGAATCGGTGACAGAAGCATGACTGTGTTGGCTGCAGGAGCCTGCTCTTTGTCCTTGTCTCATGGGACTGTGTGTGCTGCAGCTGTAGTCTCCTGAGCTGGCTGCTCCTGGTTTTCTATTTTAGGGGAACCTTGTCCCATACTCTTGTCCCACTGCCACACACCAGTTTCTGCCTTCATTTGTCCTCTGCTTCTGTTAATTATTTATTTACTATCACCACCATTTATTTACGATCACAACCATTTAATGGTCATTTTATGGTGCTTCGTTGCTTCTAAGGTAAGATTAATTTCTTTAAAATACATTGAAAGAAACTATACAGACAGTTCTACTCAGCTGTCTTTAAGTGGCACAACGTCTCCGTAGATGTGGAGTTGGGTTCCTGGGAGCATTCTAACGGTGTGTCTGTCACCCACCTGAGTGTCTGGACCAGTGACCTGGAGACATCCCATGTCTTCAGGTTTTTGTTTCAATGTACCTGCATTATTACTGAGCTACACCTGAATCGAGGAAGATGAAATTCCAATATCCTTTCTAAAAACTGTACCTAAGCTGACTGAAGAATGAGTATATGTAGGAAATAAAGTTCCTTGTGATTTTAGTGATCGCTTCATTGTGTATTGCTCGGTGAGTTTATATCCATAGCACTCTGCCCTTAAAGGACTCCTCCCTCCCTCCTCTTGTCCCGTCTTCACTCCTTCCTTCCTTCCTTCCTTCCTTCCTTCCTTCCTTCCTTCCTTCCATCCTTCCATCCTTCCATCCTTCCATCCTTCCATCCTAATACTGTGTTAAGGGTGATAGCCTCTCCTAGGGCTATCACTCTGAGCTCATGTCAGGTCCCCAATGCTGGTTGGTGTTTAGCGTGTCTTGCTTTTTGTGTGGTGTGGGCTTATCTTTTTTTTTTTTTTCTTGTCACCTGGGGACTTAGCAGCCCTCATGAACTGTCAGACCCTGTGGCCACCTCCTTACCTTTGGTGGTAGCAGTCTGATCACATGGAGTCTGATGTACTCTGAGCCTGTATGCATTTACATACCACGTGCTATGGACTGCAGTTAGCCAAAGCTCAGTGCTACATTCACATGGCTGTTGCGTGAGCTGCTGAAGTTGGAGGTGTTTAGTGGTGAGGCCCCATTCACCGTAGCTTGTGCTTTTGTGTTGCAGGAAACGATGTCGGACGGAGTTCCTACGGGGCCATGCAGGTGAAGCAGGTGTTTGACTACGCTTACATTGTGCTCAGCCATGCTGTGTCACCACTCGCCAGGTCTTACCCCAACAGGGACTCTGAAAGGTAATAGACCTTGTATCTGGGTTCTGGGCTCCTCATTCTGTAGAGTGGCAGGTGTACTTTCTCTAGTCATATGCTTCTGTGTCATGGATGGACCTTGATAATAAGGAAAGCCCGCCGGGGAATCAGGAAGGCTTTTGGGTAGCCTGTGGTCTAGGACTGAGGGTTTTTTAGTGGTGTGGCATTTACTCATGGTGTTCTGTAGTAGAGCAGACTCCTGACTTCTGAAGCCTTGGGTTGGTGCTTGTTCAGCCTCCATCGGGTTATGGTCAGGTTGTGAGTGAGTTCACATCGGAGTGCACTGCTCAGCCTTAATCCCTAGTGTTCAGTTGTCCTCCATTCTCCACTTGAGGATAGTCTGCATCGTGTACCTTACTGGTAGTCACACTTGTTCATCTCTGACTCTAGTGTGTGGGGAGCAGAGGGCTGGCAGTGAGAAGACAATGCAGAAGGAAGAAGCACGCTGTGCAGACTGGTGTCAGCAGTGTGCTCGTGTCTGTGCTGGGGAGGGCTGTCTCAGGAAACTCAGTGAGGAGTGAGGCTGTAGCTTTATGCCAGCTGTTCATGCACACTGTTGCAGGCCAGAACCTAGCCTGGCTTGGTCTCTCTCCTCAGCTGTGCGGTGGGATAGGAAGTGCCAGAACTTCATGGCCATTGTGAATGGAAGTCTGTATGGAAGTCTTCATCTTTTGTAGATAGATCTTGGTTAAGAACTTCTTTCTACAAAGCGAACTTACTTTTGTGTGTATCATGACCTCATGGTACACTCGAATGTAAACATGTCATGGATATTTTATACAGTTCACTCAGTTTGCTTTTTTTTTTTTTGTCCTTCATGGACCTCACGCCTGACACCGTGTGTCTGTGTCCACCCTTGTTCTTCGCAGTACTTTAGGAAGAATCATCAAAGTCACCCAGGAAGTCATTGACTACCGGAGGTGGATCAAAGAAAAGTGGGGCAGCAGAGTCCTCCCGTCTCCAGACCTGGGTGAGAGGCTGACATGAGAGCTTGGCCTCCTGCCTGTAGCACAGAAGCATCTCTGACCCTTTTGTTGGTTGCTTAAGCTGTGAAAGAAGCTCCTTTTTTACTTTTTCTGATAGGTCATCCCTCTGTGTGCTCTAGCCCTGAGAGGAATAGAGTGGTAGCTGCAGTAGGCTATACTGGGAAGGGGCATGTGGAAGTAGTCGCTAATGGTTCCATTCATGATTAAGCTAAGATACTCACATTCCAACACATAATGGAAAAGTATTGACAGGCATAGATTTTTTTTTTGTTCTAAATCTTAGAAATCCTGTGTGTATTTCTGTTTCAGAATTCTACATTTCTCATTGGAAATACTTGGTTTATATTTATAGTTTATAAAAGCTACAGATAAAACTTACCCACCAGCATCGAATAAATATTTTAATGTTTTTTGATAACTAGTTTAATACACGCTTAACATTAGATAAATTCAGTTGTAAGGTTTGGTTTGTTAGTCACACATGCAGCATTTCAGAGCTCAGCAGCCCTGTGCTGCCGGCACGCCATGCTAATCACTGACCCAGGCTCTGCTTTCCTTCCACAGACAACAGGATTAAGGTAAAGGAGAGAACCACCACATGCAATGGCGAGCAGACGCAGAGCCGGGAGCCCAGCTCCCCTTACAGCCAGCGCCTGACTCTGTCCCTGTCCAGTCCCCAGCTGCTGTCTTCAGGCTCCTCTGCTTCTTCTGTGTCCTCACTTTCTGGAAGTGATATTGTGAGTGGGCTTTTGCTCTTGATGGTCTCCCTTGTGTGGGGTGTCCTGGTTCTTTCTAGCAGGGAGTTCAAGACCTACTCTTCCATCTCAGTCCCTTGGGTGTTTGTGTGTGTGTCAGTGTGTGTGTCTGTGTTTATGTCTGTGTCTGCTTGGTGTTCTTTGGCATAGGCCTTAAGAATCCCAGGCTGTGTTGCTCATGTGACCCATTGACCAAGGTAGAAATAGCACTCTGATAAGCTGTGAACCTTTTTGAGTCATTTTGTGAAAACTGGTTTAGAGATTTACAAAGTTAAGTCCACATGTCTCATCTGTACTTTCTGTGGCCTAGCCTTTCTCTGTTTTGAAATGACTAAGGAATGGGATTACGGTTACACACCTGCCCTTCCTTGCTCAATGAGGCTTGCTCTAATGGCCTCTCCTGGCTTGCCTCCCTGAAAGTACGTGTGTCAGACCCCAGAAGCCACTGTGCTTACAAACTACTCATTTCTTGTGCTGCACTCTAGGACTCGGACACACCACCCTGCACCACTCCTAGTGTTTATCAGTTCAGCCTACAAGCACCTGCCACCCTGATGGCCAGCCTGCCCACAGCCTTGCCAATGCCCAGCAGCAAACCTCAGCCCGCTGCTTCCAGAACGTTGATCATGACAACGAACAATCAGGTACAGGATCCCTTCCCAGGGGTGGCATCCAAGCCAAGGAGTGCATGGGAGGAGGTCATTGTCCCTGTGAACTGGATCTAGTTTAGTCATGCCTGTCTCTTAAGAATTGCCATGTTTTGGTGGCTGTACAACACAACTCAGCTCATTCTGTAAGACAGTCTCTGACCAGGAGTCTGCTGTGGTTCTTGAGTATGAAATGCCTCTTGACAGGCAGTGTCCAGGTCACTCTTTGCTGTAGACACTTGTTGCTTTCTTTTCGCCAGAAATTTAGTACACAGACCATTGAAATGTCAACATGGACTTGGACTCTGTGTTAATTAGTCATTATTTAGGACTTTTTCTCCTCTTAAAATTTATATAAAATCAGTTTAAAGGCATATATTTTATAAATATTCAAAATTGTCTATATATCCCAGTTATATGTCAGCTAGATTTGTATACACTCGATACATTAGTAACAAGTGGGGTGAGTGTAAAACAGTACAGAAACACACAGATGTCCCTCCTGGAGTCTTCTGGCCCTGTTGTCCATTCCCACAGAGCTGTTTTGAAGCTGTGAGCTGCCAAAGCACATGACCCCATTTGTTGGCAAGCGTTTGACACAGTTCACCCAAACTGTGTAGCCCAGACTACAAACCTTCAGCTAGTGCACACATGGAACTTTCCAAGGTAGTTATTTAAGCTATTAAAGTCTGTTCCAGTTCATCTTGATTGTCTTCTGATTAGGACATTGGCCTCAACCTCACACTTCGGTGGCCTTTATGTCACTGCTCAGGGCTCAGTGTCTCCAAGAGCCCAATGCAGACCCAACTTCTGTTTCCTGCCAGGGGGTGTTTTGGACCTGTGGTGTCTAAGAAAGTGTGGGTGTAGGTCCCAGTTAGTTATGTTTGTATGCATCTCCTGTGTGAGTATAAGCTCAGACAAGACTGAGGCCACTTGACTTGCAACAGGACAGTTAAGTGAAAACCCTGTCTTAAAACATAGGTGTTCTCTTGTCCAGTGCAGCTTAAAAAATGATGGCCACCCTTTAGAGATAGGATTTCCTAGTATGACAAGGATGAATGAAGTTGGAGGTCATAGACCTGTTGGAGACCTTCAGGAGTGCAGTGGAGCAGGGAGCTTTCTTTTTTCTCTGGAGAGGGAAACAGGTTTATGGTATGGACCCAGAGCAGAGTATTGGTATCAGACTCTCCATCATATGCTTTTAACAAAGCGTAGCCAAATTGCTGTCTCTGCATGCAGCTGCTGGTCTCTTCTGGAGGTTTACCTGCGAAGGTTAGCTCCTACTGAAGCTACTTCCTCTGGAAGTTTTGGGTAAAGCATTGATGCCTTGGTGATCATTATCATTAGGCTAGGAAGGGCTCTCACCAGCTTTCCTTTGCTGTGTGTGACACAGATAATGCAGAAGCTAGAGTGGTGGCCAGAAAGAGCTGCCCTCTTTGACCCTTCCCTGTGTTCCTGCTCATCTGGGGTTGGAAGGATGCTCACCCTGGGGCTTATTCTAGGGATTGAAATGACAGTTGCTCTTCTGATAGCTCTAATTGTTTTGAATTTGGTTTTATCTTTGGAGAGTGTTAGGTTTTATGACCAAGTGACTGGCATTACTTGGAACTGTAGTTGCTGTTTGAAAAGATGAGGTCTTTGTACTTCCAAGGCCACAGTGTTGTTAGGTCACAAGAGAAAACTCTACGGAGACGTATGTGAGTGGGCTTTCTACAGGCAGACCTGCCTGCTCCAGCTTGGTGCAAAGCTCTCACTTGTTGGAAGCTACACATTTCTCTTTTTCTTCTAGACCAGGTTTACTATCCCTCCGCCGACCCTCGGAGTTGCCCCTGTTCCTTGCAGACAGGCTGGTGTTGAAGGAACCACATCTTTGAAGGCCGTGCACAATGTGACTTCCCCAGCCATTCCCTCAGCGTCCCCCAACCCACTGTCAAGTCCTCATCTCTACCACAAGGTGTGTACTGTCTGCTGTTGGGCTCTTGAAGTCACTCTAGGTGGGCCTGTGCCAAGATAACTCCAGAAGGTTTTTAAAGGGGCCTTGTGTCCTGCTCATGCAGGCTCCTGCTTCTTCTTTTACTTTTGTAAATAGCGTTTAAAATGCTCGTTCATCTAGTGTGATAGTTTAAGTTAATGCAGCTCAGTTCCTCACTGGCGCTACAGTGTGAAATAAGCAGGGTTAAAAGTCGAAGACTCACTTGGTCTTCAGTGTAAGTTCTTTTTATCACATATTTTAGTTTGTAAAATCAAAAGCTAAAGTCAAGCCTTAGGCTTACCAAAGCCTGTGGTGTGTGGATTGTGTCAGCCAGCCTACCCAGACACTGGCTTCATGCCAGGAGGGAGAGCTGTGTGCTGGGGACTCTTACCCTGGTAGTGCCCCCTCCCCTGAGACCATTCTGCAGCCTCTAGGGCATTAGGTACAGTCCATGTGGAGTACTGTGATACATACAGGGCTGGGTTGCCCAGGATTCAGTGCTATCTGGGCAGCAGGCACAGTTTGCAGGTCTTGCTCTGGGCAGCTCCTCTTTGCTTATCCCATCCCAGTTTGCCAGAACAGCATTTGTTCTCAAATTTAGCTCTTTGGCACCGCGCCATTATTACTTCCTGATTATGGGTTTGCTGGCGTCAGGTAATGTCCTTCCTGGGCTAACAGGCCTGGAGGACAGTTTTGTCAGGGCTGCTGCCTTTGCTTTTCTCCTTGGCCCCCTCGACCTGCTGGATGTGCCTGACTCTTTCTGAAAGCAGTTCATGCTTCTTTGCATACATCCACTTTGCAGTTGCTTGGGGACAGCCCAAAGCTTTGCTGCTGTGTGTAGAGACGCTGAGGATGAGGTAGGCATGCAGGACTCCCTTGTATGGTTCCAGGTTTATGGGGACCTTCTCACACCTCTGAAGAAGCAGAGCAGATCAGAAGTTTGTAGGATCCTGAGTGAAGTGATGTTCTTGTCAGAGTGAAGGGTTCTTCTGCTTACTGCATATCCCAGCAGCAACAGTATGGCTGCGGGTTCTTTGTTGTTCATAATGTCTCTGTTCTTAACGTCTTGTCACAACATGGTCTGCATGTGGTACTCCAACCCTGTTTTCTCTCTATCTCACCAGCAGCACAATGGCATGAAACTGTCCATGAAAGGCTCCCACAACCACGCTCAGGGTGGTGGCTACAGCTCTGTGGGCAGTGGAGCTGTGAGGCCTCCTGTTGGCAACCGAGGACACCACCAGTACAACCGCACTGGTTGGAGGAGAAAAAAGCATGCACACACAAGGGACAGCCTGCCTGTGAGTCTCAGCAGGTAATGGCTCCTGGCTGCTCCCAGCCTGAGTCTGCCCATAGGCCTCGGGCACCACAGGGGAACCGAGACCAGCATCCAGCACCTCCATTGTGGGCTGCCGACTGCTGCCCAGCACTGGTCACTCTGCATGTCTGTGTGGTGGCCATCTTGCAGAACAGCCCCTTGTGCTCATCTGTGAAGCCTTACTAAATGTGGATCTGCGGCCGCCCAGAAGTCCTCACCTGTGCCCAGCAGTCCAGCAGTGCCAGGGGCTAGATGTGCGGCCGCTCAGAAGTCCTCACCTGTGCCCAGCAGGCTCAGGAGTGCCAGGGGCTGGATGTGTGGCTTCACAGCCGTGTCTGCTCTGTGGCAGTGTGGGGTTCACCTCCATGCCTGTCACAGAGAAGTCAAGCCCTGGTCCATGTCTCTCTGACTGAGTGTGCAGGCTGCTGCTTTACTGCCCTCATGTCTTGTTTGAAACTTCGGGACTGTTTTTCTATGTACATATCAAAAACTTATGATTTGTGCAATAACTCAAATATTTTTTATTTAATTTCATATTTTCACATAAGTTATATTTAAGGGAGGAGGGAATTTTTTTTAAAACACCCTTAGATCCTTTCCCAGTTTGCATTTTCTAAGTTGGGTTCCTCATGTTGGCTGGTTGTCTGATAGCGTCATTAAACGAACACCGAGAGGAGGGGCTTGTGGGCTTTATTTTTTACGTCTTTTCTTTTGGTCAGATGCAGTAAAGGAGCTGAGTCGTCCTGGTGGTTTTGTGAGGCATTCAGCTCCCAGGTCTCCAATGCATAACTGGCAGCCTCGCTGTAGGCCTTGGGCTGTAATCCTGCTCTGACCACAAGTTCTGACATTTTGGGTTGGGTTTTTAAAAACTAGACAGCAAATCCAGCATTTAAAGTGCCAGAAGTAAAGACCTCTAAGGGGAGAAGAGGTTGTCACGTCGTACAAATCGCAGAGCATTGTGACTGTGGGCGTGCTTCCGTTAGTGACATGGTCTAGAGCCATGGGCCTGGTGAGCATCGTTACAGACAATGGCACCCAGATTTAGGAATGTGGAGAAAGGAGTTTGGTTGATTCCATTGAGGAATCTGCATAGGTATGCACTCGTTCTGTTAAGAGCAAATATCTGAAAAGTACCTCCGCTGTTCAGGGCTCATGGGGAGTATTTTAATGTAACACAGGAGAGCACAGCCCAGTGTGGGCCCGGGAGCGGCTGGTGCCTGTCGTCAGAAGCATACAGGTATACTATGCAAGCGTATTCTGCCACAACAACCACTGTCTTTGTTACTTTTTTTGAACAAGAATATATCCATCACCTAACCGTGAGTCTCTGGAGTACCACAGCTGCCCTGGAGTGCGTGCGTCTTGTAGGCCCTCTGACCCCCATTTCTCAAATGGGGTTTTGGCCCTGCTAAATACTACAGGTAGGCTGGTCCTAAAGTCCACTGGTATGGAATGTCAAGATAAGAAGCCGATTGCTGGGACATCTGATTGACATGCAGCAGTGGGAATTCTAAATGAATGTCTGAATGTGATGGACACCTCGCCAAGGACAAGTTCTGCGTGTCTGGGTCTTCCTCTTGCTGCTGTGGTGGGCCTGTTGACTCTGGGAGACATTCCAGAGCAGAGTAGCACATGGGGTCTGCAGCTCATGAGGATTGAAATCATCCCAAATATTTAAAACTATTTAAATTGTGAAACCTGTTGCTAAAGAATATTTATGAACACTGGTCCATAGGCCTGTACTAATTTACACATTAGCAATATTGACTGTATTTGCATTAAGGAGCCACCATGGGGCCGTGCGAGTGACCCGCACATGTGCGTTTTAAAGCTCTATCATCCACAGGCACAGGTATGTGTCCGTCCCTGTAATGGTGAACCAGATGAATTGGCCTGGCTACCACTGTGGCCATACGCTACAGTTTGACAAAATGATATCATGTTTCAATTTTCTGTGTGGACAACAATGTGGACACTAAAATTGACATATTTTTATGTAAAGGTTTTCTATTCTTTGATTTTTAATAAACTTTAGAAACCAGCTTTGTGTTGACTAGATGCTTTCCTCTGAGGGTGGGGTGGTTTCTGTGTTACTGGCTGCTGGGGTTATGAATATGACCCTAAGGCGATCCCTGTGGCCAGGATGGTGATGGGTCATTTTGCCATTAGTTAATTCCATGGGCCATTCTGACTGTAGCAGGGGCCTTAGCCCCACCTGAGGGTGCTCTGAAGACTGCTGGGGGACTGTGTACACCAGACTGGACCATGCTCTGTGCTTAGGCATTCTAGTGAAACGTGTGCAAATAGTGTCACACTTAAAGCTCCCAAATAACGTACCTTTAGTTTGTGATTGATAGGGGTCTGATAGGCATGCCTCTAAGTGGCAGGGCACTTGGCTGCTCTGCTCATTCAGGGTGTGTGGTGGGATCTTGTCGTGTCTTATACATGTCTCCTGAACAAAATGTTCATCCATTCCAACATTCTTTGCTCCAGGGGCTGGGTCAGTCTTGGAAAAGTTCATGACCTTTGAAGCCTCTGAATTCCAGGCAAGATCAGGAAACCCACACTAGGCCATTTTTTCTTGGAAGCAAGTGTGGAGACTTGCATTTGTTCATGGTCAGGAGCATGAGGCTGACCATGAAGTGTGGCCTGTTCCACTTTTGGAGAGAAATACGTTGACAGTTTATGTCAAGTCCTGAGAGAGTGTTGCAGGCTGAGGGTGCAGATGTGAACTCTGACCTCCTAAGTCAATTGGCTTAGGAAGGGAGAGGCCTTAGGGATCCGCTGGAGCCACTCAGCTGTAACTCAAAAGCAGACAGAAGCTGACGCTGTGCCGAATCTCATGGCAGATGAGAGTGGGAGGGTTTGTGGCTTAATCACTTATACTAGCAAAAAACTTAATGGCTTTTTTCCTCAGGGGTGAACAGCAGAGCACCTGCATGGGTTCAGAGGCTCATGAACTCTTTATGAGCCAGAGAAGGAAGGGAAGAGGTGGGGGAGGGAAGGAGAGAGAACGAATCACACGTTCTCTCCATAGTATCAGTTCACATGTATACAGGCAAACAACCAGACATGCAACATGTACACATTCATACAAACATTCAAGGGGACCCCCATTCTACGTGCACAGTGTACATATACACACTTGTACATATATGTATTTACACAGACATACAGACTTTCATACATATAAACAGACACGTATTTGGTGGATGGAGGAAAACTCCAATCAACCAACAGCAACTTCTGTCCTGGGTTTTATACCTTCTAAGACAAAGGTTTTTTTAAATAAAAATTACCTCCTTCAAGAATACAGAAAATCGTTAACACAATTACAGTAGGATTATTGATTTTAAGTTCTTTCATTAGAACTAGAACTAGATACTTCTCATAAGTTTAAAGCGGTGGTTTTATGTGTGTGCTCATTGTGAGTTCAAAGCAGGTTTATCTTATTTCATATGTGCATTGTGTGTGCAAAGGATGTTTTTTTTTATGTCAAGATTTTTGTAAAACAGATGTGTGTGTTGTATAGCTAACCATTTTAATTTTTGTTTTTATACTCATATATGCTCTTATTGTGTACACCTTGGCCTTATCCTTGGCTAAACCTAATATGAATGTATTTCCTTGATTATTATTAATTTGTTTCAATCTTCTTTCTTGGTATAATTCACATGGAGGTTCACAGAGGTCTTAACAGTTTTTGCTATACTGCAGGAAGGTTTTTAAATTACTTGAATCAATTCAGGAATCATCAGGAATTATAAAATTATCTGCAGGAAATCACCCAACAGAGAGTAGCCCCTGTGATGGAATAATACTGTGCTGTAGGCAGCGAGGGTCTGTTCCTGCTCCACTGCATTACGCCAGGCCTCGGAGACAAGCATAGGAAGGCAGGGTAGCAACAAGCAGTCATGAAGCAAAATCCCTTGGGGCTTTGCTCAAACCAGGGATACACCCATTCGTCAGTCATGCAGAAATGAGTGGGCTGCCTCCAGGAAGTTTGCTTGCTTGCTTTTGCCAATCCGGCATGCAGATGCTCACGACAAGTTTCTTTGGGTGTATTGTGTTGGGCTCGGTTTTGCTTGGGGGAGTCAAACACACGCCCCTATCCTTGTGTCTAGGGAGAGCCATGCAGCTGGATCGATCCGCCTAGCGAGTTACATTCTGAGTTGAAGGTAGTCCTAGCTTCATGTTGCTTCTGCATCCATTCTGGATAGCAGTGGGCTGCTTCCCGGCAGGGCAGGGCAGGGCCAGGCCATTCACTCTCCAGCACACCCTTCTGCCAGCTCTTCAAGGTACTTCATCCAGACTTCTGCCTCATGCTGCCACCCCCTGGGACCCACCTCCTGCCAAAGGAACAGCTACTTGTGGCCCCCTTGCTTAGCCATATTGAATCTACCCCGACAGGATGCCACAAAGGCCCTTTCTCAACGTGAGACCCATGGAACTCATGCCCATGGGTCACTCATGCTAGTGACCTACCAGTTGGAACTCCCCGGGGGAATCAATTTGGTAAGTCCCAGGACCCAAGAAAGGTGTTGGCCGGAGGATCCTTCTCTCTCTCTCTCTCTCTCTCTCTCTCTCTCTCTCTCTCTCCACATATTGTTAGGGTCCAGCATTAAGGTCTCATCTCCATCTCACAGACCCCAAACCACAGCAGAGCTGGTGTTTTTGACATAGCACTTTTGCTAGGAAGCAACACCTTTATTCACCTTTCATTCTCAGCAGAATTTAACTGTGAAGCTGGGAGCTGTAGCCAGCATCCATCTTGAACTACATACCTGCTTGGGGACAAGGTTGAGGAGGAACGCAGGAAGGCCGTGAAATTCCAAGAGGGGCTGGAACACTTTTTGTAGGCATAGGCGGAACATTTACATGCAGAATAAACCTGTGCCTGGCTCTCAGCGGAACACAGTTTTAAATGAGGTTTAGAAAAAGCATCTGAAATACGAGCTCATGTGCAGGTCTGTAGGAGGTACTTTAGGCTGGGGGGAACGGTTTCCTTTGCTTCCTCTTGTGTTTGGGGGTGCCGTACCCTATGAATGAAGCTCCTAGCAGCCTGTAGAACACAGTTTAAACCAGCGGACTCAACATTCACCTGTCTTTCATTCCAACTTTCATGTTTCACAGAACTGCTTGGTTTGGGTTAAGGAAGGTGGCTTTCACACACACTTTGCATCTTGGTCCTAGAATCAGAGCCTTTGACCAGGAAGGGGCAGATCCCCCATACTGATGCCTGCACACCTGGAATATCTAGAGAGGGACAAAGCTCTGTCCATCCTGGTTTCATGTCTGCCTCCTAACTAGTGGTCTTGGTGAGGGGAACTGTCTACTCAGGCCTTCTTTCTCTGCTTTGCCTGCTAAGCTCCACATTACTCAGCCCGAGTGTGCACTTGGCAGCCTCATGGACAGCAACCACATACACATGCAAAGCATTCCAGTTGGCTCTGGGCTGCTGTGCCTGCAGGGTCCTGTGTCCTGCAGGTGGAAGTCCTCCTGGGCTGGCATTCGGAGCCTTTGCTTTGTTCTTGTTGTGGAGGACGCAGTGTCCCCGAGAGAAGAGAGAGGGCGCCCTTGTTCCAATCCTGCAGATGTTCTGCCAAACCACTGTCTGAACTCTACAGCTCCCTTCTTACCAGGCTGCTGGCTATGTGATCTTTCACCCTTGGAAAAGTTTTTCTACATTAGGCTGAATTAACAATTAATAAGCCATTCAGGGCATGCAAGATTTCAAAGTCCCCAGGGAATGGGGCTGCATTTTCTTTTCTCTGTTGAGGAACAGAAAGATCTGTGACATCCTAAGAGTGACAAGGAAGGGAGCCATGGAGCCTTTCCTGCTGCCCCAGGACTGCCTGGTGGGGGTAGGGGAAGATTCCAGATTGTTCATCAGACGTATCCCCGTTCCAGATCCTGCCATGCAATTCTCCTTCTGAGTTATAGTTGTGGCCAGGGGATTGGTGGCCTTCTGGTCGCCAAGGTCCCCCATGTGCTGGAAGAGGACCCTGCCATGTTGCTCTGTGTTTTTGAGAAGGGTCTCTGTGGACTGTGACGAGAAGCAGGGACTTCACAGAGTTGAGGGCAGTATCCAGAATCCCTGTCTTTGCTCTCTGGCAGAGGAGCCTTTGCCCTCTCCCCTCATTGAGATGAGGTGGCCCATTGTCTGGGTGTGTTGGAGAAGGGCGTGTGTGCAAAGTACCCTATAGGCAGCAGCACACACAGCCCTCTCTGCAGACATGTCCATGGCCTTCAGGTGTGGATCCTCAGCCCCTTCCTCCACACAAGCACCACTCTTGACCTCTCACATGAGCATGGAGGAGGGGTGACTGAAGCTCCAGGCTCTGGCTGGGGCCAGAAACCCAAGTTTGGTGAACCTGGAGTTACCTGTCCTCTGTGGGACCTCTGTGACATGAATGTCACAGAGCCAAAGCCCTCCTGATGGAGAGAAGTCTTTCTAGCCACAGAAGCACTTCTGTGAGTAGGCAGTGTGAGCAGGAGCAAGTGGAAGTCGCAGTCCGGGGGCAGGAGGGCTCCATACCAGGCCTGCTCTCGGCCAGGCTTGGTCCAGGATGGGATTCTAGACTCTGGCTGTTTGGGTGGCTATGCTTATGGCCACAGTAAGGGAATAGTAACTTGGTGAGCAGTCTGTAAACAGACATAACCAAAGCTGGTGGAGAGTAACTGTTCCATATTTCATCAGTGAATGAAATATTCGTATTTTATCACATGTGCTTTTTGTAATACCCACCTCCTTTCTGCCCATCCATGACCCATCCTGGAGGTACTTGAAGGAATCTTGAACAGGCTTACCTCTGTTCCCCACCAGCCTGGTAGACACCATGGTAGTCTCACAGTTAGGTGTCTGCGCCCTTCATAGTTCCAGCGGCTGCCCCTCTTGTCCAGTGCGTGTGGCCCGTGCAGCCCCTATGGGGGCTCTGTAAAGTCCAGCTGCATCTTCTCAGAACATGGCTTCCCATTCTCTCGGTTCAGTGTTTGATATATCTGAGGGCCTACAACCCTCATGTCCAACCCGTGG